ACTGAAAGGATGCACTCTGTAAAAAGTGCCTGGGGGAAGCCTAGTATTTTTGTTTTCTTTTTTTTTTTTTCATCTTTTTGAGACAGGGTCTCACTATGTAGTTCAGGCTGGCCTTGAGCTCACTTTGTAGCAGGCTGGTCTCGAACTCACAACGATCCTCCTGCCTCAGCCTCCCGAGTGCTGGGATTACAGGCGTGCGCCACCACGCCCGGCAGAAGCCTAGTATTTTCAACAGCATTCACTAGTGCAGTTACCAGCGAAGATGACTGTGGGAACATGAACATGTGTTTTGACGCCGAGGCTTGAAATTCATGAGAAGAGCCTGTGCCTAAACTGAGTCCCGAGGGAGTCTGGGGCAGACGGAGATACCATTAAGAGCCTGCTGTCTGCGCAGAGATTGTACTATTTGGCCTGTGGGTGACTTCTGTCAATGGAACAAAGGGGTGATGACAGATCAGTCACAAAAAACTTCAGTTCTTCTTAACCACTGCGCAGTCTTTAGGACCCAGCTCAGCATTTCCGGGGCTCAGATGTGTTCTGGGCTCCAAGTGTTACTCACTGCTCTGACATGGGGGTAGCTTGGGTTTACCCAAGGGGCAGGGCTCACCCTGACATTCAGTGGCCCTAAGCAATAGCTTCTTGAGGGGGCTGGGGATTTAGCTCAGCGGCAAAAGCGCCTGCCTAGCAAGCGCAAGGTCGTGAGTTCGATTGTACCAGAGTACCAGAGAAAAATAAATAAAATCTGATCAATTGCTTCTTGAGTTCTTTTTTTTTTTTTTTTTTTTTTTTTTTTTTGAGACAGGGTCTTGCTATGCAGTTCAGGCTGGACTTGAGCTCACTTTGTAGCCCAGGCGGTCTCGAGCTCACAGCGATCCTCCTGCCTCAGCCTCCCAAGTACTGGGATTACAGGTGTGCGCCAACATGTCCAGCTAGCTTCTTGAGTTCTTATAGCTCTATGATAATTTTGTTTAGAAAGTGATTAATAATGATTAATTGATAACATCTGGCTAATAATTGTAAATACTTTCTCATCTTCCATTTTCCCTCTCTATCATGAACTCCTTTAGTCTGCTATAACCTAGAGGGACAAACGTCAACTCTTGTAGGAGGAGTGGGCCGGGGATATAGCTCAGTGGCATAAGCGCCTGCCTGGCAAGTACAAGGTCCTGAGTTTGATTCCCGGTACCAAAAAAAAAAAAAAAGAGGAGTTAGCATTGCAAAGATGCTTATTTTACTCTCCCCGCCTTCACACCCAGGGGAGCTCCTTCTGTGGAAAGCTGACGGTTTGACTCTCCCACCACGGAGCAGAAACAGGAAACATACCCAGGAACAGTTAGCTATAGACTGACAGCCAGTAAGACATCCCTAAAAGGACGCAGTACCTGACCCCGTCTTTTGGAGCTTTGAATGTAGTCTCAGGAGGGCACCCCACGCCAGGGAGACTGGGGTAGAGGTGAGAACCTCAGCTGTGCAGGGCGCAGGCAGATAGAGCCGGGCTGAAGCATGTGTAGCTGTAGAAGCAGGGGACAGCTCTGTCACCTGGTGGGAGAATATCCAAGTCAGGGGCAACAGACAGGTGGGGGGCACTGGGCATTGCTCCAGGCCTGTGGGCTGCAGTGACCCAAGTGACCCCCTAGGCCAGGGATGGCGCACCTTTTAGAGCTCTCAGTGATGCAGACAGCCCACTTCAGCACACACGCCATAGGCGGGCCACCGCTGCAACCTAAGTCGTGTCCTGCTGACCTTTGGGCTGTTGTAAGGAGAGCGTGCTGGTTAGGTGCTCCCCTAACCCCTACATGGCTCTGTGGGCTTTTTGTCTTTTCACTTAGGAAATGAACAAAAGAGATATAAGAACTCACACTTACTCTAACTAGAGTAACCATCTTTTTTGAGTTTTATTTTTTTGGAGGGGTTTGGAGGAGTTTTTTTTGTCTTTTTGAGACAGGGTCTCCCTGTGCAGTTCAGGCTGGCCTTGAGCTCATTTAGTAGCCCAGGCTGGTCTGGAACTTGCAGCAATCCTCCTGCCTCAGCCTCCTGAGTGCTGGGATTACAGGCGTGCGCCACCACGCCCGGCTCAAAGAATGAATTGGGTTTTGAAAATAAAATGAAATAGAATTTATTTCCAACTGCTTTTCGCTTTAAAAATCCTACTGAATATCAGCTAACATGGCTTTTAGGTGCTCAGTTCAAGGTCATGCAATTCCTCTTCTTCTGCATCTTTGCTTTCTCCACCCTCAGCTCCACTGACTCCACCCACTTCCTCTGCTCCCCTCCAACGGGTGCCTCCTCAGTGTCCGTTCTCTGTGCTCGTCTGACCCAGTGAACACCTCTCAGCCGTGGACATTATTACGTGGACAGATGAGGAAGCCAAGGTGCTGGCGAGAGGACTGCGCTGGGCTCAGTGTGGGCATCCGCTGCCAGCTGTCCCGGGGGTGGACGCAGAACAGAGCAGTGGGCCCAGAAAAGCCAGAGGAAAGGGGCTTTGTAAAGCAGAGAACGAGTCAGAAGGCACGAGGAAGAAATGAACCCACTGCATGAAATATTTAAAACTCAGACTGGCAAAAGATCCTATAAACCATGAGAAGGCAGACTGCAGAGTAGACAAAGATACCGGCAGTGCCTGAAACAGAAGGAAGGGAAACGTCCCTCCTCTATGAAGAGTGCACTATAGGGGGCTGGGAATTTAGCTCAGTGGCGCAGCACCTGCCTGGCAAGCGCAAGGTTGTGAGTTCGATTCCCTGTACCGGGGGGGAAAAAAAAAGAGTGCACTATAGTTTAAGGAGAAAAATGGTGAGCTCCAACCCAAAAGAAAAATGGGTTGGAGTTTAAGTGAGCAATTCAGGAAGGATAAAAGGCAGATCTCCAGAAGACATAAAGATGACTGACCTTACTTTAGTGAAAGGAGTGCAACATAAAGTGCTGTGATATGCACCCCCCTCATCAGATTAGAAAACACTAGAATGACCGCTGATACCCTGCAAGGAAATGGACACACTGCAGTGTCAGCAGGTGAGGAATATGGTTTGGTGGTGTTTATCACAATTAGCATGTGCCATGCTCCCTGACCCGGCAGATCCACTTCTAAAAATCCAGCTTACAGATACCTCCTGTGCAGGCAAAGAGACACAGAGGAGTTTTGTTTTGTTTTGTTTTGGGGGGGTTGTCTTTTTGAGACCACCTCCACAACAAAGAGAGAGAGAAAGACAGACAGATGGAAAGAAGGAAGGACAGGAGGGAAGGAGGAGAAAGGAAAGGAAGGGAAGGAAAAGGAAAAGGAAGGAAAGGGAGGGGGCCTGGTCTCAATGTAGCCTTCCCTGGCTGAGGTCAAGTTCCCGTTTTTGGCTTCAGATGTCTTTCCTTCATAGGGTCGCCCTCCTCTAGCCAGAGACCTGAAGCGAGGGTGGCTGGGAGGGGAGTTGAAGTTCCAGGCATGAAGGAAATTTAGCTTCCAGCCACTTAATTCTGGGTAAGCAAAACTAAATGGCAGCCCTAGCCGGGCGTGGTGACACACGCGTATAATCCCAGCACTTGAGAGGCTGAGGCAGGAGGATCGTTGAGAGTTCAAGACCAGCCTGGGCTACAAAGTCAACTCAAGGCCATCCTGAACTGCATAGCGAGACCCTGTCTCAAAAAGACAGAAAAATAATGAAAAAACAAATGGTAGCCCCTGAGGTCAACTGCCCACATTCTCAGTACTTTCAACTCTCTTTCTTTCTTTCTTTCTTTCTTTCTTTCTTTCTTTCTTTCTTTCTTTCTTTCTTTCTTTCTTTCTTTCTCTTTCTTTTTTCTTTCTTTCCTTTCTTTTTCTCTCTCACTCTTTCTTTCTTTCCTTTTTTCCTTCTTCACTCTTTCCTTCCTTCCTTTCTTCTGTCCTCCCACAAGTTCTTACTAAGTTGCCCAGGTTGCCCTTCAACATGTGACCCTCCTGCCTCGGCCTCCTGAGTGGCTGATGTATGCTACTGCACTGGGCTGCTTTTATTCCTGTCTCTCCCAGGACACAGCCCCAGCCGGGAAGTCCCAGAACACCCCTTCCACGCAGCTGGCCTCCTGCCCGGAGTCCTGGCGATGGCCCCAGATCTCTGCAGAGTTTAACCCTCTCCTCCACGTTTGTGCCTGAGGCATCCATCTTCTGTGCTGGGGGCTGGGTCTGAGAAAAAGGAGATGAGTCCGGTAGGGCCAGAGCTGCCAGGAGGAGCTGGAACGAGGGGAGCAGATGCCATCAGGGAGGAGCGGGGAAGAGGAGCCAGGAAGCCGGTAGTTCCGGAAGGGATGGCCTGAGTCAGTATAAAGGAAGATGGGGCTTCCCAGAGCCACAAAGCCATCCTGAGAAATAATGTAGCCCAGAAAACAGTGCTTAAGCGGCGTGCATGTGTGTAGCGGTGTCTTCAAAGTCCTGTTGACTTCATTCAGCTATCAGGTCGCTGTCTCCTGCTCAGATCTCCCCACCTGGGTGGGGGCACTGCCTGACAGAGGTCCCTCCACGCTGCCACCAAACCAGTTCTGCTTCCTAACACGGGAAGCCTTCCTCAGCTCGGTGCACAGGGAGCCGGGAAAAGTCCTTGGGTGCTTCAGATTTTGCCCTTTAAACTTCGCTTACTGCAGTCCTCAGTTAGAAATGCACAGGTAAGGCAGGTGTGGTCACACACACACTCGGGAAGCTGAGGCAGGAGGATTGCCACGAGTTTGGGGCCCGCCTAGGTCACACAGTGAGTTCAGCCCAGCCTGAACTACATAATGAGACCCTGTCTCCAAAGAGAAAGAAAGAGAGAGAGAGAGAGGGAGAGAGAGAGAAACAGAGAGAAGAAACAAAGAAAGAGGAAGGAAGGAAGGGAAAGGAAAAGCAAGGAAAGGAAAGGAAGAAGGAAGGGAGGGAGGGAGAAATGCACCCACAAACGTGGGCACACACACACAGACATAAGTAAAACGTGAGCTCCAACAAGCAATACTCAACACTGACCCTAATTATCTATGATGCACTCTAACCATTTTGCATTCCATTCTTTTTTTTTTTTTCCTCACAAAAACGTTTAATAAAGAACAGTTTGGCTGTTACAAGATTGTTGGTTAAGGGCTGGATTGGTATTAAAAGCCACACAGGGAAATCAGGAACATCTCTCCCAGTGAAACCCTCGCTCCAGTGGCCTCACATCTTGGCTTCTCCAGCAGTTTCTGCTCCTGTTTCCATCCGGTTTTCAGCCCTTTCCTCCTGGCCGCTCATCCTCTCTGCCTCCCTGGCCGGCTGGTCTGCTGGCAAGGCCTCAGCCGGTCTCTTGCTGGCTTTCTTCATTTCCGAGTCTGTCTCTGAACGTCTGCAGCAGTGACCAGCTGGATGGAAGAGGGAGATAAAAGACAAAAAGTTTACGGGATCATCTCTTTCCAAAATAGAAACAGGCCAGGGGTGGGTTGCAAGCTCTCAACACTAGCCTGGCCCAGGAATCTGCCTTGACTTCCTATAGTCAATATTTTAAAGGTGTTTTTTGTCTTCTTGAGACAGGGTCTCACTATGCAGTTCAGTCTGGCCTTGAGCTCACTTTGTAGCCCAGGCCGGTCTCGAACTTGCAAAGATCCTCCTGCCTCAGCCTCCTGAGTGCTGGGATTATAGGTGTGCACCACCACACCTGGCTTTTAAAGGTGTTTTTGAAATCCAGTCCACTTAAATGTTCTTTGATGCCTTGGTGCTTGACTGCCTGCAGCCTCCAGTTTGCACAGAGCTGCTGAGGCTTCTCTAGTTTGTCCTGCTATGGACGATACCTGACCTGATTGCCAGGGTGGGCAGTGATAAGAATGACCAGCCTCAGGAAGATGCAGCTGGTCAGTCACACAGGGCTCAGGTAAAGGGTACAGCAGCTCTGCACTTGGGGGCTCAGGCATACAGTTTCCTATGCAAATTCAGGGAGTATCAGGCTTCTTTTAAATTTTCCCACAAAAGGCTGGCTTGGAACTGGGTGTGTTCCTGGCTCCCCCATGGTCGCTGCTGCTGGCTTGCTGATTCTGCTCCTTAGATGCGGACAGGCTGAGGCTTGCTACAAAATGCGTTTTGTTTTCATTTTTTAAAATATTTGAGGGCTGGGGATTTAGCTCAGCAGCACTGCACCTGCCTGGCAAGTGCAAGGTCATGAGTTTAATTCCCGGTACTGCAAAAAAATAAAATAAAATAAAAATTTGTAACTGCTCATAAGTTCATTGATTCCAAGGCCAGTGGGTAAGAATAGCAGTTTGCAACACACAGTCCAGGCTGCTGAGCCTGTGCAGGGAAAGCAGGCTGGAGGGCAAACTGTGGGCCAGGGCCACCTCTCTGACCACCCCCCCCACAAGAGATGCTCGCTCACTCACCAGAAGGTGGACTGGATTATGTCATATGATGCAAGAGACCACTGAGCTTTAGGGTAGGAATAAGATGGGCTGTCCATGTGTCAGGCATTGTTCTAAGCATTTTACACAAATTAACGTATTTAATCCTCCCAGGACCACAGTGCTATTTGTAGCATTATGAGTCCCTACTGTACAGTAATTTAACTCCAGAAGTAGCTGTCTTAGTTACTTTTCTGTCATTGCTGTGACAAAATACCTAACACCAAAGTTAAAGAGGGGAAGGTTTATTTAGCTCACAGTTCGTAGAGGTTTCAGTCCATAATCAGTTGGCTCTAAGGCAGGATGGCATGGCAAAGAAGAGCAGTTCATGGTGGGCAGAAGGTAGCAAAGCAAGCAAGAGGGCAAGGCAAGCCTCTTTCTGTCCCTTAGATTGTATCCAGGCTACCAGGACTAGGGTGGTACCAAATCAATCAATGGACCGAGTTAGTAATCACCCAGCCTCAGTCCTAGTATCAGTCACACATTCTAGATTCAGCCACCTCTGAAAAAGCCCACCAGGACCACATGAGGCTTTCGGAAGATATTTAAATGCAATCCATAACATTCAGCCCTGGGAATATATATCCCTTCATGCAAAAAATACTTATGCATATTCCTCTATCCAAAAAAGCATTTAGTCTTTCTCCAAGAGTCACCAAAGTCCTAACAGTTTCAGCATTTCTGAAAAGTCCAAGTCCAACGTCTTCTCTGAGATTTAAGGCAAACTCTTAGCTGCAAGCCCCTGTACAAATGAAAAGAAAGTTAAATGCTTTTCCAGCATTCAACGGCATGATCCACATTTCCATTCCAAAAGTTACAAATGGAGATACAAAGAACGGGACAAAAGCAAGTCCAGAATCCAACAGGACAAACATTAAATCCCACAGTTCTACTTCCAGCATCCCCAGAAATCTGTGGCAAGTTGTAAACTCCAAAGGACTTGGGTGACTGTGTCCTATAGCACTTCTGGTGGTTGTAGTTCCCATGGCTTCTCTTGGGCCAGGTCTTCTTCTTCCTTGCATTTTCCTAAGATGACCTACCTACCTGGCTTCTCCAAACTTCTAGGGTCTCCACTGCACCTTTGACTTCACACCCACAGCTTTACACACTGCCCTCTCAGGGGCACACTACCTGGCCTCCCAGGCCTTCTTCTGAAATCTGGATGGGAGCCTTCCTGACCCCAAAACCCTTTCAATCTGCATGTACCTAAAACCAGTACCACATAGATGATGACAAGGTCTGCTGCCAACTGGAGCAGTAGCCAGGATTCCTTTTCTCTTGGCTACTGGGGCCCAGTGCCTATGACCAAATCCTGAGGAACAACTCCCCTAGGCCACCACTATTATGGAAAATGGTGGTATGGGGCTTTCTTCTCAATGCAAAGTCTTTCACTTTTGCAATTTTGAGGCTGTAAATGGAGGAGTCCTGCTGCTACTTGGGACACCCTCAGGCCATCTTCTCTATTCTCCTGTTCCTTCTCAGCAATCGAGATCTCTGCTCTATCTTTGTAGTCCACAGCTTTACTGGTTCTTTCTGTCCAAACTCACACTGTTTTAAATCATGCTGGTGGGCTCTTTGCTTTTGATTCTCAACAGAGATCTGGCTAAAGCCCTCAACAGCAGCCATGCCACAACCTCAACATTAGACTTCCTTGAAATTTCTTCTGCAAAGATTAGTCTGCTGCCCTTAATCTCAGTCTCGACAAAGTTTCTGGACACAAACAAAATACAAACTCTGCCAAGGCATAGCACACATCATCTTGAGTCTAGCAACCAATGCAGTCCTTGTTCCCAGCAGAAACCTTCAGAGCCTGGTCTTTCTGACAGAATTTCTATCTGCATTCCGGTCTTCTGAGCTCTGATGAAAATCTCCCATCAAGTACTGCCTATGGCATTCCAGCTCTACTTTTTCCACTCTGAACCTTTCCAAACCTTTCCCACAAGTCATTCCCAAAGGCTCTTGAACTACCTAATCAGTTATAGTCACAGCAATGACCCTACTCCTGGTACTAAATTTGTCTTAGTTACTTTTCTCTTGTTGCTGAAACAAAATACTTGACACCCAAAGTTAAAAAAGAGAAAGGTTTATTTAGCTCACAGTTTGTAGAGGTTTCAGCCCATAATCAGCTGGCTCTAAGGCAGGGTGGCATGGCAGAGAAGAGCAGTTCATGGTGGGCAGAAGGTAGCAAAGCAAGTAAGGGGGCAAGACAAACCTCTTTCTGTCCCTTAGATTGTATCCAGGCTACCAAGACTAGGGTGGTACCAAACCAGTTGGTGGACTGATTTAGTAATCACCCCTCCACCTCAATCCTAGCACCCTTAATCCAGCATTGCACCACGAATCAATCACACTCTAGGTTCAGCCGTCTGTGAAAAAGTCCACCTATGACCACAGGAGGCTTTGGGGGGACATGTAAATACAAGCTGTAACAGTAGCTATTAAGTATAGCTCTGACCATCAAAGCCAGGCAGATTGACTTCAGAGCCCTCACTCAAAAAAAACACTACAGTCCCTTTCCCCTTGTCCCAGACATTCTTGCACTTCTTACTCCTGGGTCACTTTGCCATCTTTTCAAGGGTGACATCCTGTGCTGAACTTGGGCTCTGGTCAGAATTCCACAAAGGATTCAGATGAGAGCTTAAATTCTGGCATGGACATCAGCCCAGGTGTCAGTATATCAAGTGCAGCAGAGTGTTCAACACCCACTCAGAGTGTGTGTACTGACTACACCCCTCAGTGCCAGAAGGTCAGGGATGGAAGGGCCTGCAGAAACCATGCAGGTACGTACAGCTTGCACATGGAGTGAGAGGAGCATGGGTGCACACTGCTCTGGGACCTCCACCTCTGTCTGTTTCAGAGATAGACTTTCTGTGAAGAAAATAGTTTTCCCACTAAAATGAGGAAAATTATTTGAAGGGGATAAGAGAAAAATATAAGAAGTTACGTCCTTTTGAAAAACAATTCATTAAACATATTTTCTTTTGCTTTTTTTTTTTTGAGACAAGGTCTCGCTATGCAGCTCAGGCTGGCCTTGAGCTCACTTTGTAGCCCAGGCTGGTCTCAAACTTGAAAGGATCCTCCTGCCTCAGCCTCCTGAGTGCTGGGATTACAGCTGTGTGCCACCATGCCGTTCAAACATATTTTCATTTCTATAAAATATATATAATGAGCTGGGCTTGGTGATACATATTTGTAATCCTAACATTGAGGTGGCTGAGGCAGAAGGATTGCTGTGAGGCAGAGGCCAGCCTGGGTTACACAGTGAGACCCTATCTCAAAAAACCAAAAAAAAATGCCTGTAATCCCAGCAGTCAGCAGGCTGAAGCAGGAGGATCACTATGAGTTCAAGGCCAGCCTGTACTACAAAGTGAGTTTAAGGCCAGCCTGAACTGCATGGTGAAACTTTGTCTCGCAAAGACAAAAATAAATAAACAAATAAAATGCATGTATTGTAAAATTTACCATTGATAGCATTTAGTACAGGGCCAGAGATATAGCTTAGTGGCACAGTGCCTGCCTGGCCAGCGGGAGGTCCTGAGTTCAATTCCCAGTACCAAAAAAAAAAAAAAAAACGTTTAGTACATTCACAATGTTGTGATAGTTACCCATAGTAGTTACATTATCGAGGCCCATTATCACCCAATGGGAAATGTCATACCCACTAAGCTAGGGCTCCCATGACCCCCCCACCCAGTCTCTGACAGCCACTAATCTACTTTCCGTGCCTGTGGTCTTGCCTGACAGTAAACGGAATCATACAGTTTGCGGTCTTTTGTGTCCGGCCTTTTTCACTTCTTATAATGATTCCGAGGTTCATCCGTGTTGCAGTGTCTTCCAGCATTTCATTGTTTATGGCTTTTTAGGGTTGAATGATGTTCATCTATCCATTTATTAGGTGATGGGCATTTGAGTTGTTTCCACCTTTTTGTGCAATGAATAACGAATCTTTATTTGTGCACAGGTTTGAACATCTGTTTTCATTCTTCTGGGTACTTGCCTAGGAGAGGAATGACTAAATTGTATAGAAACTCCGGGTTCATTTTGTTTTGTTTTTTTGAGTTGCTGTGTAGCCCACACTGGCCTTGAACTCAGTCCGCCTGCCTTACCTCCTTGAGTGCTGAGATTGCAGGCGTGCACCACCATGCCCAGCCCATGGGTTTATTTTTTTACCCCACTGTGGTGGGGACCGAGCCCAGGGCTTCATGTGCAGTGGCAAGCATTGTACTACTAGGCTTTGCCCCCAGGCCGGCAATTCTGTGTTCCAGTTATTGAGGAACCACAGAACAGTGGCTCCACCACCAAACACCACCACTAGCTATGTACAGGGGTTCCAGGTTCTGCATGTCTGCCGCAGCACGTGTTATTTTCTTTACAGAAGACAGGATAGCCAGGTGTGTTGGGGCAAGCACTCAGGAGTCTGAGGCCAGCCTGGGCTACGTAGTGAGTTCAAGGCCAGAGGCCCTGTCTCAAAAAAAAAAAAAGACATACAACTGATTTTTTGGTGCGGCAATCCTGCACTGTGTGTCACTACTGAATTCTTTTATTTTATTTTATTTTATTTTTTGAGACAGGGTCTTGCTATGCAGTTCAGGCTGGCCTTGAGCTCACTTTGTCACCCAGGCTGGTCTCAAACTCCCAACGATCCTCCTGCCTCAGCCTCCCGAGTGCTGGGATTACAAGTGTGGGCCACCACGCCAGGCACTACTGAAGTATTTAGCTCTAATTGTTAACATTTGACCCTTGTAGTCCACCGACCTCCTCCTAGCAGTTTTGAATTCTTTAAGATACCAAGCAGCCAGGATTTGCTCAATCCTGGGGCTTCTTATGGCTGAGTTTAGGATGGGCTTAGCCTGGTAACTGCCAACTTTTCAGTGCAGTTTGCAGGTACAAATTCCAGCAAGATTTCTCTGCAAAGACCCCTGCCCACCCCTCCTAACTCTCTAATTCACACTCTCATTAAATCATTATCTGAGTCCAGCCCTAACTCCCATCCTAAGTGGGTGGTACCCGGCCCTGGTCTCCCAGCAGAGATGACTTCCTGCCCTCCCACCTGGCGGAGAGCCGACCTAATCCCCATGCTTCGACCTGCAGTCCGAGCCCTTCCCATTCCCAGCCCTCCGATTGCTTCCTTCTAGGTCACTCTGGGCCCCAGAGTATGGAGTATTTTTTCCCCAGTTCCAAAAATCCCCTGTCTCGGGCCCTGGCAAAGCTGCTCCTGCTTCCCTGGTGAGGTCAGGCCCTTTGCTTACAACACGTCTGGCAGGAAAACAGGCAAATTCGGCATGCAAACTAGGCTTATTTTAGCGAGTGGGGGCCCCGCCTGCAATGTAGCGTCTATGCTCACAAAAGACAGCCGAGAAGCTCCTACCCAGAGAGCCGGAGGGCAGAGACTCGGGGTGGGAACGAGGGCTGGCAGAGTGAGTGGGGAGGACCAGGAAGGAGGGACCACCGCCCAAGGCCCCACCCGGTTGCCTAGGTGATGGAGAGGCGGGGCGGAGGCAGAAGCGCGGGCGGAGTTTACCCTGCATCTCAGATCTTAGTATTTGGTGGCCCCTGCTTCCGCCCACGCCTGGATCCCAGGAGCTCGGCCTTGTGGGAGGACAGGGGCGGGAGCTGTAAGCCCTGCAGAGTTTCCCGTGTTTTCTACTCCTACCCAGGGCTCTGGTGCATGGAGAAATCGAATGTCAGCCCTGGAAAAAAGCCTGTGAAAGCTCCTTGAAGTCTAGTAGTTTTCAAGCAGGTTTGTAATAACAGATCTTTGTCTGAAAGGCGTTGCTACCCACGACCTCAGCGTAGGGACCTGTTCACCCAACTGCACCTTCCCAGAATGCGGCAAAACTCCACTCTGGGTCCAAACCCTGCTTGTTAATGTGGGAAAACCGAGGCCCCCAGATTGCCCCTGACAGCTCAAAGACCCCCAGCTAAGGAGTTCTTGCAGAATCAAGATGGCAAAGCACCTCCCTGGGACCAGGACACGACAAGCAGAGAGGAGCAGGACCCCTGAGGTTGCGGGGAGTGGCGGGGCACAGGCCGTCTTAGGAACCTGAAATGTCCGGATTCCCCGGGACATCATACCCTTCCTTGTGCAGAGACAACTGAGGCCCCGAGCGGGGATGGGGCTGGCCTGTTCCTGGAGTGCTCCTAGAGGGAGCGGTAGTCTCTCGAGCAGAAGATGAATCTGAGCATTAGGCTTGTTGGCTGGCTCAAGCAGCAAATCCTTGATGAAATTCAGAGGAGCCAGATGGCGCGGGGGTGCAGCTCCGGCCTGGGAGCCTCGTCCGGCTCCGCAAGCCACGGGCCCCTGACCTTGGGAGATTTACCTTCAAGAGCCAAAGGGATCATCCTCTAGTTTGTAAGAGGTCCAGAAGAGTAATAGGATTAAATGGTGCTTGCGCTGTTTTTTATTGTTTCTAAATGTCAGTGCTTCCTTGGGGGAAAAGGAAGTAAAGACCAAGCTTGACAGAGGGTTTTTAAAATGGTCTTATTTTTCTTTCCCATTCTTCATGGCTAATTGTAAAGTAACACAGGGTTATTTTATTTTATTTTATTTTTTGTCTTTTTGTTTGTTTGTTTTTCCAGTACTGGGAATTGAACTCACGACCTCCCGCTTGCCAGGCAGGCGCTGTGCCACTGAGCTAAATCCCCAGCCCTATTTTTTGTCTTTTTGAGACAGGGTCTCACTATGCAGTCCAGGCTGGCCTTGAGCTCACTTTGTAGCCCAGGTTGGCCTTGAACTTGCAACGGTCCTCCTGCCTCAGCCTCCCGAGTGCTGGAATTACAGGCGTGCACCACCACGCTGACCACAGGGTCATTTTAGAAAGTGTGAAAAGTACAGAAAATGAAAACAAACATGGTGGTGCACACCTGTAACCTCAGCACTCAGGAGGCTGAGGCGGGAGGATCACTGGAAATTTGAGGCCAGCCTGGGCTACAAAATGAGTTCAAGGCCAACCTCATAGTGAGACCCTGCCCCCGCACAAAGATGATCTTGTAATTTTGAAAAAACTCATTTTATGTAATGATTAACATCCAATTTAAAAGCTGGGTGTAGTGGCACACGTGTGTAATCCCAGCACTCAGGAGGCTGAGGCAGGAGGATTGTTGCAAGTTCAAAACTAGCCTGGGCTACCCTGTCTCAAAAGGACAAAACAAAACAAAAAACATCCAACTTAAAATATTATTTGAGTAGTAAAGATGTGTTTGAGAGCTACCCCAGCCCTAGATTCTTCCCATCACCACAGAGACCATTGACGAGCTTGGTTTGTGCCCTTTCAGATTTTTAAAAAATGTTTCATTTATTTACATTCCTTCTTTTTTTTTTTTTTTTCGTCTTTTTGAGACAGGGTCTCGCTATGCAGTTCAGGCTGGACTTGAGCTCACTTTGTAGCCCAGGCTGGTCTAGAACTCACAACGATCCTCCTGCCTCAGCCTCCTTAGTGCTGGGATTACAGGTGTGCGGCACCACGCCCGGCTACACTCCTTTTTGCTTATTTATATCCATTTCATTTGTGTGTACCAATAGGAAATATATTGTATAATAAGTAATATAAATAAACATGTATATATCTTTGTATAGTGTGTGTTTTACATAATGGTATAATGTGTTTTCTCGGCAATTGTTTTAAAACCGTCTATTTTCACATTATTATTCCATCTTCACATTGCATGTTTGTTTTCATTTACCCAGTCTGTCCTCGATGAACACATCCCATCCCTTCTCATCATAAGCTTGACAGTGAGTAAGCTGCGCATGCCCCTGTGCTCAGGAGCCCCTGCTTCTCTGGTCATAGATGCATGGAAGTAGGACTGACGGGAGTGTATTATTCACCCTCTGTCCACACAGCGAAATCGCCATCCGGAGGGACTGCTTATAGGAACGCTCCTGTTACCTCTTCATTGGATTAGAAAACTCGGTTTTAGGCTGAGGATGTAGCGCAGCATGCACACAATCCTAGATTCAGCAGGGCATGATGGTGCAGGCCCGGAAACCCTGCACTCTGGGAGGCCGAGACAAGAGGACTACAAGTTTGATCCCAACCTGGGCAATTTAGTGACTTAGAGATGCATGCACACACACACACACACACACACACACACATGCAAGCACCACAAAGCAAAAAACCTTAATTTAGAAATCTATAATGTTCACTTTAATTTCCCTGAATGTTAGCATGATTAAACATATTTCTGTGTTTATTGGCTGTTATAAAAATTGAGTTATTTTGTACTTAGGCCACTACCTTTTTCTCTGTGTATTGCAAATATTTTGTTTGTTTGTTTTTCCCAGTACCGGGAATAGAATTCACGACCTCGCGCTTGCCAGGCAGGTGTTGTGATGCTGAGCTAAATCCCCAGCCCCACAAATATTTTTCCAGTCTGTTGATTATCGTTTCTTTTGTCTTTTTGAGACAGGGTCTCGCTGTGCAGATCAGGCTGGCCTTGAGCTCACTTTGTAGCCCAGGCTGGTCTCGAACTCACAACAATCCTCCTGCCTCAGCCTCTGGAGTGTGGGATTACAGACAAACAACACCACACCCAGCTGGAATCAAATTTTAAAATCACCTCCACAACCAGGTGTGGTGGCGCACGACTGTAATCCCAGCACTCGAAAAGCTGAGGCCAAAGGATCACTGGGAGTTAGGGATCAGCCTGGGCTATACAGTGAGGTCAAATCCAGTCAACTACAGAGCAAGACCCTGTCTCAAAAAAAAAAAAAAAAAAAGTAAATAAAAATATAAATAAATAAATAAGTCAAATCACCTCCATAAAGCCAGACATGGTAGTGCATGCCTATAATCCCAGCACTTGGGAGCTGGAGGCAGGAGGGTAGCAGCAAGTTCAAGGCCAATTTGGGCTACATAGTGAGTTCAAGGCCAGCCTAAAATATACATCAAGACCCTGTCTCAAAAACCAAAAAAAACAGGTGTGGTGGCGCACGCCTGTAATCCCAGCACTCGGGAGGTTGAAACAGGAGGATCATTTCGAGTTCAAGGCCAGCCTGGGCTACAAAGTGAGCTCAAGGCCAGCCTGAACTGCACAGTGAAACCCTGTCTCAAAAACACCAAAAACAAAACAACCCCCCCCAGAAAAATAACCTCCATAAAGATCTTATTTATCTTTTACTAGGTTTATTCCTAGAGACTTTATAGCTTTTGTGACTATATTTTTTACTATTATATTTTCTGATTATTCATTTTTAAATTTTAAATTTTTGGCCCTATTAATTTTTAAATTTTTTTTTTTGTCATTGTGCGTTCGATCTTTTGGGTCTTCTAGGTAAGATAATCACATATTGTCTGTATATAATGAACGCTTTCTCGGCTGGGCTTGGTGGACCCAGAGACAGGCTCACAAGCCGTAACACAGGCAGAGGTTAGAGTGCTGTATGCGGCCAAGGAGCACCCAGGACTGCTGGCAACCGCCAGACACTAGCGAGAGAGGCAAAGAAGGATCCTCTGCTAGAGCTGCCAATATAGCACGGCCTTGCTGACACGCTGGTTTCAGCTGCCTCCTACCCGCCCCTCTATTTTTTTTGCTTTATTTTTTGAGACAGGGTCTCACTGTGTAGCCCGGAGCTGGCCTCAAGTTCGTGGTGAGCCTCCTGCCTCAGCCTCCAAGTGCTGGGGTTACAGGTGTGCGCTACCACGCCCAGCTTGATTTCCGGCTGACCTCCAAAACTGTAAGACAATACGTTTCTGCTGTTAAACCACACGCTTTATAGTAACTAGCAACCCTGCAACACCGAGCAAAAGCTAATTTATTCACAGTTGCTCTTCCTTGTTTTGTACCAAGCACACGTAAGTCGTGTTATTTTCCAGAGAACAACTGTGACTACCCCATAAGGTATACTTTATGGAATTCTCTCTTTTGTTGTTTTTTTTTTTTTTTTTTTGGTACCGGGAATCAAACTCAGGACCTTGCACTTGCCAGGCAGGCACTGTGCTACTGAGTTATCTCCCACCCGCCCCCTTTTTTAAGAAAGGGTCTGGGCCGGGGATATAGCTCAGCGGCATAAGCGCTTGCCTGGCAAGCCTGAGGTCATGAGTTCGATTCCCGGTGCAAAAAAAAAAAAAAAAAAAGACAGGGTGTCCAGGCTAACCGCAAACTCCTGGACTCAAGCAATCCTGCCACCCCAGCCTCCTGCTTAGCTGGGACTGCAGCAGTGTACAACCACACCCAGCTCAATTCTAATCTGCCATTTTTCTTCAACCCATTAATTATTTAGACCTTTTTGTTTGTTTTTTCATGGTAGTGGAGATTGGACACAGAGCTTTCACTCTGAGCTGCTGTCCCTGATCCTTTTCTACATTTTTTTTAATTTTGAGACAGAATCTTGCTAAATTGTACAGACTGGGTTAAAACTTATGATTCTCCTGCCTCAGCCTCCCAGAGTTCTAGGATTATAGGTGTGAGCCACCATGCCTGGCCATTTTGTTTGTTTGAGACGAGA